TGATCGACCTGGGCGTGGATCGGGAGAGAAATTGAAACGGAAGATATATAGTGCTGTGTTTTTGCCTTTTATTTGTATTTTTATTTATTTTTTGTGTGTAAGTGGATCGAGAATTTGGATCCGGATACAAGGTAATTACGGGTTTGGAACTTCAATTTAGGAAAAATTGCAGTTGATGTCCCAAATCTTTCAAAAGAGTGCAAATCGATCCAAAGTCTTCTATATTTTACATTTTCATCCTAAAGTTTAAACAAAATAAGCAAAACAAGTGAAGATGGCAATCTATCAGCTCAGATCAGTCACCCCCGAGCTTGGTTGGCCGACTAGACAAGCCACCTTACTAGCTTGCCCATGAGTTGGGTGACCCGGGTCAACTCGCAAGCCGTGATTTATTTTTATTTTTTTTTGGGTCACAACCTGATTTTATTTATTTTCTCAATTTGAAAATGAGTTAAAAGCTAGATAAGTAAAATCATCTATCAGATTATTTGACCTACCAATGAATTTAATAAGATCCTGGTTTTATAGTAATCCATTCAAAAAAATAAAAATAAAAAATGGAACTTTTCAATGTAATGCAATGTTTGAAAATGAACTCTTCTACACGTACAGACAAAGTTTTCACAGAAAAGGTACAGAAAACTCACAGTTCTGGAACCCACACATTTTTAGCATTTTTTTATACATTATGGGGCCCACACACATGTGTGTATTCTGGAAAACTTCTGTGACAATTTTTGTACATCCTGTTTTTCTGGTTTGAACATAGGTATTGAACTCCCATCTTAATTGACCTATCAATTAATGGTACTTAAGATAAAACCTAGACAATTTTGCTCATTGCTTTACTCTTATAATAGATTATTACACATGAAAAATTGCAATATCCAATAGCAAAGAACTAAGAAGCGAAAAGAATAATTAAAACTACGAAAGTAACAATTGTAAAATTATATTACTAGAAGTGTCATTCAAAATTATAGAAGAATGTAAAAAAAAAAAAAAAAAAAAGTAAAATGGAACGAAGAAAGCTTTGTAAAAAATCTTTATTTATAGATAATACCCGAGATGAGAAAAGAAATACTTTTTAAATTTGAATTGAAAAATTTGATGGCATGCCATATGAGTCGACTCACGAGGCAAGCTCGCCTAGTGAGCCAGATCGCTAGTCGACGAGCGACTCATATGGAAAATTACAAGCTCGGCTCATGTCCATGCTCACTTACAAGGTGAGTCGAGTTGACGACTAGCCTGTGTCCATTTCCATCCCTAGGACCAAGGACATTTTGATGGAAAATGTCCAAAAATCCATAGTTCACTGAATATGCAGCCATTGATCTTTATTTGACCATTTTTAAGAATGGCTAAAGTATATGTATCTCCAAATTTTACCACTTATAACAATTAAAATACATAAAGCCCTTGTTTGATTTCCATTTTGAGGGAATTGAATAGTAGATTGATGGATAATGTATGGTTAAAAATTAAAGAAAAGTTTTAGATTTGCGTGTAATGTTATTATATTGAAAAATGTATAGTTGAAAATGAGTTTTGAAAAAATGAATTTAAACGTCATCTTTCCCCAAAAACACACTTTCGATTAGATTTTGGCCCATATATGCAATCACATCAAAGTAAGGAAAGCAAAGACACTTAGCCTAGAAGTCAAAAGAAAGCCATGCACAAGATTTTGCTTCGACGGAATAGTTATTGAAATCTTCTAAAAGGAGTGGATGATTTACTCTACTCCCCCACATCACTGAAGGTGGCAACCTGTACAATGAGCCATTTTTGTTCGTCGAAGAGGTCTATCAATCCTGTCTTTCAAATTTTGAATACGATCTCGAACCAATTGCATTAATTCTTTAAAAGCCTTCGAATCAAGAGCACATCAATGCTTCCAGAATTGACGAAACCTTGCACAACACCCCTTCCCATAGCCACAATTACTATCACAGTCATTGTCATCATCACCTCTTGCTCACGCACCCCCACTCCTTTCCTACAAGCCCTATTACCACGACAACCAATGAGAGATTTCTCCCCTGTGGATCCAGCGGATTGGTTGGTAGGTTAGGGTACGAATTCTTCTCTCACTTTCTTTTTAGTTTTTAGTTTATTTATTTTTTAATTTATCTTTATCTTCTTTCAATAAGAGCCTGCTTAATTCCTATTAATTTATTTTTATGGTTGTTATAGGATCATTTTCAACCGCGTATTCATACGATAAAATATTCTACACATTCTGTCAAACATTTTTCCTACTTTTTAACAACATATTTTTCTAAAAATACTATTCAAAACTTATTTTCTTTCAAATTAAAGAGAATCAAACAGGCATCAAATATGAAGCCTTCTTAAAAATGTTGAATTGAAGTTCAAGGGTTACATATTTGGATAGCTAATGGATCCCACCTAAAGTAGGAATGTCAAAAGTGGAAATTACAAGGTTCCCTACATTAAAAATCCAAAATTCTAAAATGAGGTTGGTAGTTTCATTGTTCCAAAATCAGATGTTTTGCTAAATATAGACACTTCAAAACTAATTATTCCCATTTTCATTCCCCCCACCCTGATTCTCTCTCTCACGTCTCTCTTTCAACTGCCCGACGACAGACGATGGAGGAGTTGCACCATTGTAGCGTCGCCGACCATGCTGCTATGAATGTCCCCTTTGCAATGTCAACGTATTGATGGTGAGGGTGAGTAGATCGCGATGGAGGTGGATCTGTGGATTTGTAGTGTGCGTGCGGTGGTGGTTCGACGAACTAGTGTGTGTGCAGTGGCGGTTAGATCTGTGGTTGGTGTGGTGGTTGTGGAATGGCGGGTGTGGTGGTTACGTGCAACGGTGCAAATTGGTGTGCGTGTGGTGTGTGTGCCACGGTGGTTCGACGAACTGGCGTGCGTGTGGATCTGTGGTGGTTGTGGAATGGTTTGGGGTGGGTTTTGTTGGCTGTGGTGACGGTAGAGGAGGCGGTGTTGGCTATTGGGTGGATGTCGTGGTTGTGGAATGATTTGGGGGTGGTGCTGGCTGCGTTGGCGGTACTGAAATTTGTGATCGTGATTGTGACTCCCAATTGGATAGGTAATCTAAAAAATTGTGACCGAACAATTAATCGTGACCAATAAATTCACTAATATTTGGATATGTGATCTGAAAATTGTGATCGTGACTCACAATTGATGAAGTTGTGATCAAAAAATTAATCATGACCAATATATCCAATAATTTGCAATAAAAATAATTTATGACCTAAAAATTTTTGGATTATGTGACCGATGAATAATCCATAACCTATAAAATTTTTGGATTCGTGACCGAAAATATTTCTATGACCTATAAAATTTTCAATTTGTGATCGAAAAATAAGTTGTGGCCAAAAAAATTGATAAGTTGCAACTAAAATTTAATCCGTGACTAATTAATGA